AAACTTCTTTGGGCGGCGTCGTGCCCACTCGGAGTCGTCTTGGGGCAGCCTTGAGACCTTTTGGAGCATGGTGGAATCCATATTGGGCTATCTGTGGCCATCTTGGAGGTCATCTTGGGCGATTTCGTACGCTCTGACCGCTTGCCGCCCCCGCCCCCGCTCAGGCCCAGGGGGAGAGGGCAAGAGGAAGGGTCAAGCTACCCACCCGCCCGCAAGCCGTTTTGCTCGCTCCCACCCGCTTTCCCAACACATAAGCAACACCTGAGCCTCAGCATGTTCAGCGGGCGTCTTTGGATGGATAACTACTGGGAACCGAGACCAAGTGCGCGACGTTGGGGCGAGGTGCGCCACGCGTGCCAGGCGCGCCACGCGCTTCAGGCACCTCTGGGGCCCGAGCGTGCCAGGCACGCCAAGTGTGCCAGGTGCGCCACGTGCCTCCGCGTGCGCCTGGTGTGCCGCATACTCCAGCCGTGCCGGGCGCGCCACGTTGTGGACACGTGCAGAGTGTGTCGGGTGTGCCTGCGCAGGTGACAGCACCCATCGGGAAACATGTCGGTCGGCCCCCACCATCCATGTCGAGAACAAATGCCCATCATTGTGTCTGGTGGGCCGCACAGCAGGCCATACGCCACCACTTGACAGTGATCGCGGGGTGATTGCGCACGATCCAGATTTAGCCGCGAGGTGCATGTTGCATGGTTTTTTGTCAGGGATGGTAGCCCTGCTCGCAGCAGGCAATATGCTGACACCCCCGCCGCCCCTGCCAAAAAAATAACTCAAAGTGCTCGCGGGCCTCACGAACGTGATTCCACACGTTGCCCGAAAATGTACTTTGTATTGTTTTTGAAAAGGATGGAGGGGGGGGGGGCGCCTCGGGTTCGCCGCGCATGCTCCAAATGTGGAGGCAGAGTGCGCTTTGTGCGGTTTTTTGACAAGGATGGTGGGGGGTGGCCCTCATTGTTCCTGGTTGGCTGCCGGTCGCCTGGGGGAGGGGGTGTATATACATTTGGAACAGCGAGCAAGACATTTCTGCCATACGTAAACAGTTTGCCTCACTCCTGGCCGCCCTTCCAGCACAGAAGTAACACCCCACCCAGCTTTTCAGCGGTCGCCTTTGGACAGACAGGTGCTGCGAACTGGTGCAGACGCCAGCTAGGTGCGCGATGTCCGCAAAGTGCGCCGCACATGCCAGGTGCACCACGCGTACAAGGTGCTCCACATCGGGCAGTATGTCGACCGCTCCACCATTCCAGTCAAAAGACATGCAAAGTGACGGCGGGTTTGCAAGCATTGTGCATTGTGTGTGGGTGTGCGCCCACAGTCACGTTGTGTTTGACACGGATGGTGGGCCTGCCCCCAGCAGGCAGTATGCCGCCCTCTCCGCCGTCCCTGGCAGAGTGAGCTCTTGCATTTTTTTTTTTGAAAGGGATGGCGTGCCAGCGCGCAACATGTAAGATGCCGACCCCACCGCCGTCCTTATCAAAACGAATGCAAAGTGCCGCGGGGCGTCCGCGCATGAGTCAGATCTTGATGAAGGCACTTGGTCTATTGTTTTGAAGCGACGTTTGGGGGGTGTTGGCATTGCACACCGCAGGCAATATGACAGCCCCACCGCCGTCCCCGCCAAAAACACGTGAAAAGTTATCGCGGGGCGTCCGCGCATGATCTAAAGTTCGGTGCAAAGTGCACTTTCTATTTTATTGTGCCAGGCATGGTGGGGGGGTGCGGGCCTTGCACACAGAAGGCAATAGGCCAGCATCCCCACGGCCCCCGTCAAAAACCATTGAACATGACCACGGGGCCCCCGCGCATGATACAGATGTTGGTGCAAAGTTGTTTCAATATTCCCCAATCAGAGCTTGCCTCTGTAGGGGTCCTAGCGGATTGAAGGATTAGGTGAGAGGTGCGGCCGATTTCGGTGGCCGGGCCCGGGTGCCCGGGTGCCCGGGTGCCCGGCGGTGCCCGGGTGCCCGGGTGGCCGGTGAGGTGCGTGGCCGATTTCGGTGGCCGGCCCAGGTGCCCGGGTGCCCGGGTGCCCAGGGGTGCCCGGGTGCCAAGGGGTGCCCAATAGCCCAATAGTCCTATAGCCCTATAGCCCTATAGCCCTATAGCCCTATGGCCGTATAGCCCTATAGCCTCGTAGCCCTATAGCCTTATCTCCCTATAGCCCTAATAGCCTTCTATCCCTATAGCCCCATAGCCCATATAGCTCTATAGCCCCATAGCCCTATAGCCCTATGGCCCTATAGGTCACAGTCCTATAGCCCTATAGCCCCATAGCCCGATGGCCCTATAGCCCGATGGCCCTATAGCCCTATAGCCCGATAGCCCTATAGCCCTATAGCCCGATAGCCCTATAGCCCTATAGCCCTATAGCCCGCCCTATAGCCCGATAGCCCTATAGCCCGAGAGCCCTATAGCCCGATAGCCCTATAGCCCGATAGCCTTATAGCCCATTGCTGCCTGCCATCCGGCCGATTACAAAGGGAGCAATTGGAAGATTTAAAAAAAATCGGATTGTTTTTTTTTTCCATTATCATTGTTTTTTATTTTGGATGGCGGGGGGTGCACGCATTTCCCCAGGTTTGTCGATGGTCGGGTGGGGGAGGTTGTGTATGTTAACAAGGAGCAGTGGTGAACCCCTACCCGAAGGGGAAGAAGGGGAAAATTGAAGAGGAAGCTCGCGGAGGCTGGTGGGATCCAGCCAGCACACCTTGCGGCATGCTGGTGCCCACCCGGATTGTAAGGCAGCATCGTGGAATCGTGGGGCACGCAGTAACAGAGCTTATTAGCCCGCTCGGGCATTCCCTCTCCCTTCTTCGCAGGTGTCGAGTTCATGATTGCGGGCGTGGATCGGCCAGCGCGCATTTTGGTTTTTGTATGTCGTTGAGGACAAAGATATCCTCTGCGATGTTTACTCAGCTGCCTGCGGCAAGTCCCGCCACCATACCAGCCCAGCATTCAAGGTGGCTGCTGTTCGAGGGGACACGGGAGGCCGCCACGTGTGACACCTCGTGTCTCCAGGCGTGGGAGGCCCGTGATGATGGTGAGGAATGGGAGGGAGATAAGGAATCGGATGAGGAAGAAGAAGGCCGTCACATTTGACACATTACGTCTTCGCGATTGTGAAGGCCTTATTGCCGGTGCCGCCGACCCAGAAGGACGACGACGACCAACACTACGACAACGACAACGACGAGCTGATGACCCTTCCACATGCTCGGGACATGGGGCGGGCGATGGAGGGAAGGGGAGGAGGAGGAGAAAGAGGAGGAGGGGAAGGAATGGAAGAAGAGGAGGAGGATGGGGGGAAAGAGGAAGGGGAGGGGAGGGGGAGGGGGAGGGGGAGGGGGACAAGCTAGGTGCGCTCGCGTCATATCTGACATCCTACCCCTCCCTCCCATCCCTTATCATGGCGCAGATCCCCTCTCTACTCGCACAGTCGGATGTCGAGCAGGGCAATGATCCCGAAAGGGTACGCGATGCATTGTAGAGCACGGCGTGGCATGGCGTAGAAGAGCACCGCGAAGCGTAAGATCAACCTAGCATTACACTGCATGCCGTGGCATGGCACGGGAAATGACGCCAGCGCTGCAGCGGGAGCACGAGTCGAAACGAGCGGAAGCGCGGAAATGAGGCCAGCGCTGCAGCCGGAGGGGGAGGAGAAAGATGAGGAAGAGGAGGAGCAGGAGGAGGAGGAGGAAAAGGAGGAGGAGGAGCAGGAGGTGGGAGGTGGAGGAGGAGGAGGAGGAGGAGGAGGAGGGAGGAGGAGGAGGAGGAGGGAGGAGGAGGGGAAGATCGAACAGGAGAAGGAGCTCCTAGGAGGAGGAGGAGGAGGAAGAGGAGGAGGAGGAGGAGGAGGAGGAGAGCCGTCTGCCCCCTCGGGGCGGGCCGAAGCCGGGGCGGGAGCCAGGGCCTGGGCTGGGGCCGGGGCCCGGGCCAGGGCTGCTGGGGCGGGAGCCAGGGGGCCGGAGTTGGGGCCAGGGCCGAGGGCCATGGTGCCTGGGCCAGGGCCACTAGGCCTAGGACCCGAGCCGGGGCCAGGGCCGGGGCCGGACTGGGGCCCCGAACGAAGATTCGGGTTCAGTGTGAGTAGGGTCAGAGACAGACATGTAGCATGATCCAGCACCACCGGCTCAAGGATACGAACGATCTCTGCTCTGGCAGCGGAGCGTCCGGCCCCCGCGCGCCGCGCCGCGCCGCAGGCGACACCACGCCGGCGCGATAGACTACACAGAGCTCAACGACCAGATCGTGAAGATCTGCCGCGAATCGAACGACATCGAGTACCACGCGCGGCTGAACAACGCGAGCCTGGACATAGGCTGAGTCCAGAACGTAGACGAAGTTCAGAACACGGACGAGGTTCAGAACATAGACGAGGCTCGGAACATAGATTTGGTTCAGAACATAGACGAGGCTCGGAACAGAGATTTGGCACAAGACAATACAGAGGTTCAGCACTTGGACCCGGAGGCGCCCTTCTTTGGGTTATTCAGCTTACTCATGTGATAGTAGTTGGCTTTACCAGTCAGCAAACACATCAGCTTGACCATCAGCTTCTATTTTGTTTAACCAGTCAGCAGACGAAGCAGCTCGACCATCAGCTTCTATTTGGGTTGAACAGTCAGCAGACATATCAGCTTGATCATCAGCTTCTATTGGTATTTGGTTTGCCCAGTCAGCAGACAAAGCAGCTTAATCATCGGGCAGCGTTTGGTTTGACACGTCAGCAGACACAGTACTACGGACACCCGATATCAGAGATGACGACACCCTGGAGTGGAACCCTGGAACTAGAGGAGTCAACGAGGAACGCGCCACCAGGATGCAAACCCGGCTTGCAACGATACCCGGTCCGAGAGTATCTCCAGAATTTTTCGATATGGTGGCGCACAAAGAACGAGGCGGACGAATCAATCGCAGCGGTGCTTATTCTGAGTAGGCTCCAGGGCGGTGTCAGGAAGCAAGCTCTTCGTTTTACAGTGGAGCGCGACGGCATGAGCTTCGTGGGCGAGAACGCGTTCGCCCTTCCAGGCGTCGCAGCGGACCCACAGCGTGGAGTGGACGCAGAGCCGAGTGGACTTTCACACCTCACGAGATGGCTTGGACAGGAGTACGGCTTACACGAGCAGGACAACGTGACGATGCACTTGGATAAGTTCTTCGCGTTTAGACGCGGCGCCCGAGATTTGGCTCGGTGCATCGCGGCCTTCGAGATGGTCTACGACGAGGCATCGGAGACCGCAGGATTGGAGATACATGCGATAGGACGATCACACCTTCTTCTATCAGGATGTGAATTACCGCAGCGCAAGATAGACGACATCAAGTTGAAGGTCGACGGAGATTTGAACAGATATGGTGAGATCAAGGGAGCAGAATGGCAAAAGCGGACCAAGCAAAGAACCGCGCCGACGATTTCGGCGGCTTCTATGGCGACGACTCCTGGTGGGACGAAGACGAGTGGTACGAGGGCGACTGGGGCGAGTACGAGGCCAGCTGGGGCGACGAGGACTGGAGCAGCAACGATTGGAACAGCTCAAGTTGGGATAATCATGGAGATCAGCAGGGTGAGAACTCGTCTGACGCCGACGCATGCAAGGGCAGCGCAGGCGGCAGAGGGCGCGGCAAAGGTGAAGGACGCGGATGTTCAAAATGCGGCCCAAAGTGCCGCGACGCCCCAGACTCCGGCCAAAGGCGACGGCAAGGGCAACAAGCAGCGCAGCGAACGCAAACAAGACAGAAGCTCACCGCCCGGCAAAGGCGACGGCAACAAAGACAACGACAAGGGCAAGAGCAAGAGTAGTGGCCAGAAAGGCGGCAAGGCGGCAGTCGTCACTGGGTGGGGACCCCGGCGGGGTCGATATCAAGGAGGCAAAGGCAAACGGAAGAGCAAGAAAGGTCGAGGCAAAGGGCGACGTCGACATTATGATGATGAGTATGACAAGGACGATGACAGCGATTATTGGTACTACCAAGGGTTCGTGAACACCCCTCGTGGCACGAGCAGCAGCTTCCCGAAGATCGACGAGGGGCCAGGCAAGACCTACGCCGGCTTCGCGAGGACAGGGGCATCGATGAGACGAGGAGCTGATCTTCTAGCTTGGCATGAAGACGACGATCTCACCAGCTCAGCGACGACCTCCTGGAGTACCATCGCCGATGCCATCAGGATCATCGGGTTCGTGGATCGCCGCTACGGACGCGGAATCACCCCGGCGGGAAACGACGGCAGCAGCATCAGCGCCGAGGCCTACCACCACATCGACCAGACGACGACGCTTCATCATCTATATCGACTTCCAGCCGAGGAATTGACTTTGGCACCGCAGGTCAGCATGTTCGGAGCCATCGGCAGCAGCGACAACCGACAGGCATCGTACCTGGAGGACTCGATTTTCATGTTCGACCGATGTTCCCGACGGGAGCGACAGAAGGCACATTTCGCGCAGTCAGAGGCCAGGAACGACACAGACTGCTGCGCGACCCTGGCGCGGCATCAGGCATCGTGGGCACTGACTCTCTCCTGACATGCTACAACGACGCGCTCGAGCCCCTCGGCGTCGGCTGCGACCTCGTGCCCACGACGGCCAAGTTCACAGGTATAGACGCAGTGCCCGCGCCAGGCATCGGTAAGTCTAAGGTACCACTGGGGATGCCCATGCTCGAGAACGCGACTTCCACTGGAGATCTCACCGGGGGCCCTGGCTCCTGTCCCGGCCTGTTTTCGCTGAAGTCCTCCATCAAGTTTGAGGCCTCAATGTTGGCGAACGCTGTACCATTCATGGATGGCATCTTGGCGTTATTTCCCGACGACGAGTATGGCAAGCATCAGCGGAAGCCAGTGCGCGCGCCACTCCTGCGCGCCGACTCGGGCCACTGCGTGACTCCGATCGACAACTGCGACAGCCCCGAGGAGGTGAACCAGACTTACCTACGCAAGGAGTTGATGAAGTACTTGGAAGCTTTCAATGCCGTTGGTTGGGAGACGGACAACGAGCTAAACCAATGCAAAGGGCAGCGCCCAACAGTTTTGCCACCCCAAGAACGAAGTCAATGACATGGCGACTTCACGGCCCGTAGAAACACAAACTGGCACGAAGATTGCGGACGCGATGACGACGGAGCCGCAATCCCCACGAGGCGAAGTCAGGCAATTTAAACAAGAACGATCGAGCACAGCATCTTGAGATGCGGAAGGCGATCCGACACAGAGACATGCATCGATGATTGCAAGACCGACCTCAGATCTTTCACCGACTCCGACAACGCGACATACGAGAGAACAAGAGGCATCGCCAGATCTTGGGATCTTTGCAGCCAGTAAAGCCTCACCTCAGAAGTACAAGATCACCAAGCACCAGCACCATTACGAGACGCGGGCCAGCTTCATGGACCACAAATATTATCAGGATCTCATCCCGAAAGACATGGATAAACACGACTAGTAAGACATTGCTTCCGCGGAAGCGCGCCCTGTAAGGTAGACGTTCTAGCGGCCCCCTTAGTGGCTCCCTAGTGGCTCCCTAGTCGTTGTTCTAGTCGGGGGCGGTATCGTCCACCCCCATTTTTTCTACATGTTCCGAACAAATGAATATTATACTGCATGTCTCTAACGGGCAGCGAATAATGTTGTTCTTGTATATGTGAAGGGCCAGGCAGTGTCCCTCTCAAAAAACCAATGCAAAATGCACGTTGCGGCTCAACTTGGGCCAGTCCGCGGGCGCCCCGCGACCATCTTTGCATTGTTTATTGACAGGGATGGCATGGGGGGCCCGCATAAGTTGCGCGATGCGCGGGCCCGCCACCCCTGTCAAAATTCAAGAAGAAGGCGAGGAATAGGAGAGTGCGATTCCAGCTGTGAGTTCTAAGTGTGAACGCTTATCTGATCAATGATTATGGGTCCATTATCGCGCCTCGCTCGTTTCCCTGATCATAGGGTTGTTCTTTGTTCGGGACCGGCATCGGGGCCCCGACCCGTCTCCCCAGGTGTCCCAGCGCTGGTTCGTGATGGGCGGGCTTGCGATCTTCCCCCCGCCGCTCCTCCTGGCCCCCCTTTCGTCCAATCAGCCTCCATCGCAAGTCCTCCTCCGCTTCCTCCTATCCCCAATCCTGTAGTCCGCCTCTTCCTCCTCGCCTTTCGAACGCACCGCCGTTCGCGCGCGCTGTTGGTCACCGACGCCTTGACGGTCTGACTGGTCATGAGCCCCCCCATGTCCCTTGCTTACTTGGGGCCCCCATGGCGCCGAGATGGGCTCCAAACAGTGTTTCCCCCCTTGACCGTCGGCCCCCCTCGTCCGAGACGGCTTTCAGGACCTCGCGCCAAGGTCCGAACTGTGCAAGACCTGTTTGGGTGCGTGATAGGTTGGCGACGTAGCGAATATTCTGCAAGTTCTCGCCCTCCTCTTCCGCTCCGCTCAGCGTTCCGTGCCATATGGGCTTGGGCTTTTATGGTGTGAGCCTCTCACGCTCAGTGCAGGTCGCATAACGTTCGGGCCCGATTCGGACTCTGTCGTCGGCGGCGTTGCCGACGGCGCTCCAGCGCCCATGATCGCTGGAGGCGGCGGTGGCTCTGACGACGACGATCTCGTCGGGGCTGGCCCCGCGCCAGTCAGGCGCGACGGAGGCAGGCGGGCGCGCGGACCTCGACGCCCTGCCCCAGCTGCGACTGAGGGGGCGGAGTCGATAGTTGTCATGGCGTCCGCCTCCCTCGGACGCTGGTCGGAGGCTGTCGCAGGTGTGCCATTCGAACATCGCCAATATGGTTATGTTGCGGGGTTGGTTCGCGCCAGATGGCTTCTTTGCACGCGGAGGGAGGTCGACGCCGGAGATGACGTGTCTAGGATGATGGTTGCATCTTCAGCCAGGAATTGCAGCTCGGCCATCGGTTTTGTGGTCTACAAGGGAGGTTGAGGATGCTATCGTACTTCATGTTCCTCGCATGCCTGTGTCGCAAGTTCCCGTTATCCGAGCTCGTGAGGCGGGTGCCGACCCAGGCCGTGATTGCGACGGCGGCGGCACTACAGTACAGGAGCGGTTGCGACGCCAGGGAGGCGCACCAGTGACTTGCGTCGAAAGCTTCCCCCGTGCGTTTGCCGATTTGCTGGCGACAGGGCGTTCCCACATCATGCGCGTCGCAGTAATCGGCCCGTCACAGCCAAGATCACGCCATCTTTTGCAGATCAGGCCATCTGCGAAACAATTTCGCAAGTTTTGCAAGTCTGAGATGCCGTCGGAAGTTCCGGAGGTCGGCCGCGGCGACGGCCATGTCAAACCAATATTGCCCGATCCCAAGCTAGAGAAAACGATCGCGTGTTTACGGCATGGCGAGGACCTCAAATATATCAAAAAGATGAACAAATCGATCGAGTCCGCGGCTGGCGTGATCGCATTGGACCTCGATGCCGACGTTGCGTGGGTGGCGAGAGCATACAAGAGCCAGATCAACCGAGAGATAGCGAGGAAGGCGCGCGTTAGGTTCGACGTGCTCTCCATGCGCGCATGGAGGAATTTCATTCGAAACGCGCCGCCGTCAGACATTGACATCTCCTTGTCTGTCGACGGCCCACCACAGCACAGGGGCAAAGAGCTGCGCGCCTCTTCCATGGATGTATTCATACGGAGGTCTGGCTCCGCAGTTTTTCTACCATCGCCTCTTACCAGTGGTTTCCCTCGGCAGGGATCAGCTTGACACCGTCGGGACGACGGTTGCCCTGCTTTTGCAGCTCGCCCTCGCGTTTGGCCCTAAGTTGCGACCTGATATGTTGGAGCGAGTTCGAGGCGCCCCGACCGACAGCGAAGTGGAGCACAGAATTTCATCGATGAGCAATTTCTTGGCTGACTAGCATTGGTTCGTAAAAATGCGACCGCCACGCGGGCTCAGGATTGGAGGCCGATTGATGCCTCGGGCATGGCGCTCCACCGGATGGCGTCATAGTTTTTACCTCGTCATTAAACATGGGATCTCGACGTTCGACTTTTTCCCTGACTTTCTGCACGCATGAAAAGCATTGGTAAAGACCCTGCGCGACAATAACCTCATGGAAACGCTTGCTGTGGAGCGTCGTCGTCGTGGTTTAGTCGAAGCTTCTGAGATGCTCACAGTTTTCCATTTCCCATCGTTTGCTAAGTGGCGGTGGTCCACTTTATACGGATGCGCCAAACCAATTAGCAATATAATTTACACGCTCATCAATGCGTTTGATCATGATATCTTCAGGGGCATGAGGGGCACAACTCGCTTCAGCACAGCGTTGTCCGCTCTTGCATCGCCAACGTGGCCCAGAAGAGAATTGGCATTTGTGTTATGGTTCAGCTCATGGCCGGCGCCTCTACAGAACTACGCTGGCACGTGCCTGTGTCACCCTCGCGGACGGCCCACTGAAAAACGCACCACGCATCCCGAACAAGTATCAGTTTTGTTTGCCCCCGCCAGCCCATCCAAGGACTGGCGTCGCCCTCTCGCGGTTCGGCGGTCTGGGATGGGGGCGCGAGGGAAGGGGCGCAGGGTGAGGGGGGGGCGGGGGGGGGGCGGTTTGGCACCGCCGTGGAGGATAGGGGGGGCCGGTGGCTTCGATTTTCTTGTCGGTCAGGGTGGTTCTTCGTGGGCGTTGATTTCTTGTCGGGCAGGGCGGCTATTCTTGACGCTTCGTGCGCCCCCACCAGCCCATCCAGAAACGATCAGCAGGGGGGTCGGTGAATCAGGGGCGGCAGGACGAACGCAGCGGCGCAGCCGATTTTTTGAAAACAAAGATCACAAAGAGCTTCTCGCACTGAAGTTTAAGATGTGAATCGGTGCAAGCTGCGATGGTGCTTCGATGAGGGGTGAGGGGTGTTTCGATCACTCGCAATGGCTGTTGCACTGATTTGCATGTTAAACTCGGGTGCGTTTCGAAACTTGGAGCCATGTTTGGGCTCTCTTGGGGTTTGGGGCCCTCCTGGAACTCTTTATTGGAGCTCTCTTGAGGTCCTCCTAGGGCCTTCTTGGAGCCCTCTTGGGGCTCCCGTGGAACGTCTCGGAGTCCTCTTGGGGCTTTTTTGGTGGGTCTGGGGGCCTTCTTGGGGCTCTTTCGGGATGCCTGAGGGGCCCCTTGGGGCCGTCTTGGGCCCTTCCGCTAAAAGAAAAATTTAATTGTTCAGAAAGATATGGGAAATCCATAAGCCCATCAGCCCAACCATAATTGATCGCTAGTTTTCTTGAGGCCTTGGAGGCTATCTTGAGCCATGCTCGGCTAGAGGCTGTCGTCGGCTATCTTGAGCCATGCTCGGCTATCTTGGGCCATCGTGAGGCTGCCTTGGGGCCTCTTGGGGGTCTGTCGGAGGCTATCTTAGGCCATTGGGGTCGCCATCTTGGGCTATCTAGGGCTCTCTTGGAGCCATCTTGGGCCAAAATGTGGCGGCGCGGATGGTTTTTAGCGCGGGCTGGGAGGCCTCTTGGGGCCATCTTGGGCCCCATGGCTCAAAAAGAGGAGGTTTCTTAAACGTCGCCCCCTCGGAGGCTCTCAAACGGCGTCTTGGGGCCGTCTTGGGGCGATCTCGGGGCCGTCTTGGGCCTTCTTGGGCCCCTCTTGGGACCCTTTTTGGGCCATCATGGTGCCATCGCGCGGCTTCCAAAGCCCATCGGAAGCGAAAAGGCGAGAATGCCTGCAACATTGAATTTCCTAGGCTTTTGAAGGATGATGGCATCTTGGGGGGTGCCGTTGAAGGTTCGATAGGCACGTGGATCCGTCTTGGGGCAGCCTTGAGGCCCTCTTGATGCGTGTCGGAGGCTATCTTGAGCCATCTTGAACTATCTTGGGCCATCTTGGAGGCCATCTTGCGCTCCCTGAGGCCTTCTTGGAGCCATCTTGGGCCAACGAGGGCCCTCGAACCCTTCGGCCCCCCGCCGCCCAGACCCAGGGAGGGAAGGGTGGGATGTGTATCAGGGAGCACCTCCGCCCAGAGGGCCGGTGGGATTCGTGGCCGTCGGGTTCCTTGAGTCGGGGTCCAGGGTGGCTTTTCGCGGCTGTCGTTCTGTTCCTGCCCATGGAGCTCCATCGAGGAGGTTTCCGACGGCGACGGAATCCTCTCCGAAATCACACGCGTACACCCACGCACGCACGCACGCACGCACGCACACACAGTGCGTCACACACACAAACACACACACACACACACACACACACACACACGCGCACACGCGCACACGCGCGCGCGCACGAGAGCGGAGCCACATTGCACCAATAGGTCTGCTGGAACGGATTGCAGAGAGGAGCTCTGGAGATGAGCCGTAGGAGAGCCCAATTGCACTAGGAGGAGCCGCAGGAGAGCCGTAGAGGAGCGTAGGAGAGGAGCCGCAAGAGAGCCGTCAGAGAGGAGCTTCGGAGAGCCGCGGGGGCTTTTCTTCAGCCCCCCCAGGAGAGCCTGGTTGCTGGTTGCGCAGTCGTCTGCTGGGCGTTGCACATGAGCA